GTTGTATGCAGTATAGTTGTAGCCATGTTGGTCCCAGGATATTAGAGAGAGACAAGGTGGGTGAGGTAATATCTTTGATTAGGCCAACTTCTGTTGGTGAGAGAGACAAGCTTTTGAGCCACACACAGCTCTTCTCCAGATCTGGGAAAGGTACTCCCACATCGCAGCTAAATCCAAGGTGGAAAAGATTGTTTAGCATAAGTAGTTAGTATATATTCTAATGGACCATTCAAGGTCTGGAACCCACTACCCCACTTTTTATGTCCTATGACTGCAGAGCACAGTTGCCAACTTTCACGTGGTAAATAAGTACCCCGACTTTCACAATAAACCAGAAATCAAGCTAATCCCATTTCAAAACAAGGCCAAAACAAGCCAATCCCTAAGAACCCCAACACTCTGTGATTAGATCCCCCGGCATGCAGTCTGGGACTGTGGTGGGCCTGCCGTGCACCCCTGATTCTCACCCCTCCACCTTTGTCCCTGCTTTCCGGGAGCCGATCAAAAAAAAGAAGCTACAAGCCAAACAAGCAGAAAGCTACAATCCAAAAACTAGCCAACAAGCAACACACAAGCCAATTAAGCCAAAAACAAGCCCAATTTCTGTGGGGTTTTTTGCGGGTTTGGTGTGTCTGTTGCAGAGATGTTAAAGGGCAACTCTACCTTGAATGGTCACTTAGAATATGCTAAATAATCTGTTCCACCTTGCATTTAACCTTGAGGATTTAAGTGGTGTATAGGCGAATTTCACGCACTGTCCCAGAGGTTAGGTTCCAAATGAAGTGGCAATGGTTGCTGCATTTTGTGGCCTGTAGCATACAAGTCACATAAATGAAAGGCATTAAAAAGCAGAAAGTGTTATGGGTGGGTTTGTTGGGTTTTTTAAAAATAATTAAATCAATATTTTAAATTTGTATTAATAACTTGTTTTGATTGCATTTCATCACTGAAGCATAATCTCCCTATGAGAACTGTCAAGAGTGGAAAAGTACATATCAACGAACACAGGACATTAATTCATGCATGGACCTAATGATCCCTAAGAAAGACACATTCCAGGGTGTCCCTAAATGCTGCGTTTTATATTTGCCTCTCTGATTTATTTATTTATTTGCCTCAAAGATGTATAAAATCGCATGTAGGCAGAGTGCTCTCTATTAGTCATCTGCAAGTCTTAATGCACGATGTTTAGTTTATTGTGCGCAAAATATAGCATAGGCACAAAGTTGGGTGTTTTTTTTATAATCTCTCATTCCTCTAAGCGTCCCTGAAACCTTGACAAATACTACTTAAGCCTCCTGTGAGGAAGGTTACTGTAACAGCCATCAACTCTGTTGTCTCCAGAGATTAAAACCTGGAGCTCTAAGTCAGTGACAGCAGGGCTTTGGAGTCTTTTTCCCAATAATCTATTGTCCTCTATTCCCCCGATAACTGGTTTTTAGAGGATAGAGCATGAATGGTTGGGGCTCAGTGATAAGCCTTCCCTACACTTGGTCAAGTCGTCGGGGGCGAGTCTTAAAAACAAAATTGCAGAAAGCAGCAATACTATTGTTGTCCTAATCCTTTTTCTAAAATGTCAAGGTCCTAATAAATTAGACCAACATGTTCAAAGAGGCTAGTGATTTTGGGTGCCTCTGTTTTCGGTTGGCCAGCTTGAGACACCTTGAAAGGGCATGATTTTGAGAAGGTGCTGACTACCCACCCTCTGAAAATCTGGCCCCTTTATATCAAGTATCAAGTAGGGCGCTCAGAATCACTAGTGAAATCTTGGCTTCGGATTTTAGTGCCTTGCCTGCTATACGCATCATTCTGCTTGCTTGGTGTTAGGCAAATACCCATCTAGGGGAATGCTCAAATGGGAAAGTGAAACTCCCAGTCGATCCAATTTTCACACAACAAGCACCGGAGAATAGTGGGGGAAGATAAATTACCCTTTTTTCAAAAATCTGGGTAAATTAGATAATCTGTTCCTTTCTCTTCTGGTTCTTATTGGCTAATTATCTGAGAATTGTCATCCAATCAAGGAAGCTGCTTGGTTATTTACATGCTGAACAGTAAGCAAGAACCATCCTTTCAACTCAGAATTTATTTAACGCATTCGAGCTCTGGGAAAATGCTGATGTCTGTAGCATATTTAGCATTGCAACCAACCCTCACAAGATGAAAGATAGTCTCCCAATTCAAAGAACATAAGGAATTATTGAGGAAGAAAATTGTCTGAACAAGGGCAATTACAGCAATAACTATCCATGACGTAAATGGTATCAGGTCATACAAGCATAACCTAAGATGTAATGAAAATACTTCAAAGGCAAACATGCTGTAAATCAGACACAATATAATATCATTTATTACTCTGTTGGGGATGATAAAGGTAAAAGAAAATCTCTTTATTTCACAAGATAGAAGGAAAAGATACCTAGAGTATATTCCCTGCTGCTTTGCTTTAGGCAAAAGAAGTAAGGTTTTGTAGCATATACAGAGAGTATTTCAGTCCCTACAGTAGAATCCTTGTCATCTAAAGCCCAAACTTCCATTTTAACTTCCTGGAATATAATCACTCTAATTATGCGCTCTCTCTCTCTCTCTCTCTCTCTCACACACACACACACACACCCACACAGCCCCCAGTGGGAATTGAGTTAGTGTGGTGTATTAATTATGCTAGATCTCTCTCTAACCTTGAAACCATTTGACATCTCTGCTTTTGCACTTGTGTGATGATTAAGCTTCTTGCAGCTGTATGAGTTTGATCATGGAGATATTGTATTTCTGGTCTACGTTTATATTATCTGTTGTTTAAAATAAGGAGGAGGAAAAAGAAACTGGATCCAAAATGTGAAAGTAGTAAGGGGTGGCAAAAGCTTGTAGCTTTTGTGATATACTTTGTTATGGCCTGAATCCTCATTCCAGGATGAAACTCTGTCATGTATAGAGGGTCAGCAAGAGGCCCATGTGCCACTGAAGTCCTACTTCTGAGGGCTCAAGTGAGACCTAAACCTTGTGCTGCACTTCTGCACAGGTGAATTTCACCTAGAGTGACAAGATAGCAAGTGTAAAAAATCAGGACAGGAGGTGAGGGGCAATAGGGGCCAATATAAGACAAAGCCCTGAGTATCAGGACTGTCCCTATAAAATCGAAACATCTGGTCACCTTAATTTCACTGCATAGCTCACAGCCTGAGCACAGGGGTTGCGTGTTGAGAATTCTGCAGCAATTAGGGGAATCCTTGAATACGGTCTGTAAGTATCTACATGGGGAACAAATAGTTACTGATGGGCTTTTCACTCTGGCAGAGAAAGGTATAACACAATCCACTGGCTAGAAGCTAGACAAGTTCAGACTGGAAATATGGTGTACATTTTTAATGGTGAGAGTAATTAACCACTGGAACAATATACCAGGGGTCTTGGTGGATTCTCCATCACTGGTAATTTTTAAAATCAAGTTTGGATTTTTTTTTTAAAAAAAATATATGCTTAAGAAATTATTTTGGAGGAGTTCTATGGCTTGTGTTATAGAGGAGATTAGACTGGATGATCACAGCGGTTCCTTCTGGCCTTGGAATCATTGAATCCTTCCCATCAGGCATTACTCTGCTGATTCTATAGGTTTCTGTACATTTTTGCAAAAAGAAAAGGAGTACTTGTGGCACCTTAGAGACTAACCAATTTATTTGAGCATGAGCTTTCGTGAGCTACAGCTCACTTCTGTAGCTCACAAAAGCTTATGCGCAAATAAATTGGTTAGTCTCTAAGGTGCCACAAGTACTCCTTTTCTTTTTGCGAATACAGACTAACACGGCTGTTACTCTGAAACCTGTACATTTTTGCTGCTTCTGTGACCTCCTGTAGTGGGAAATTTAACGGCTCCTTGCTGATCTACTGGGCCCTGCTCCTCCATGCTCGCGTGCTATGGTGCATTCATTAGTCTGACCGCCACCTCAGGGGGGATGTACACAGCAAAGTAAAAAGTTAGGGAGAATGTGTCTCCCTCAGTGGTTAACAGGTGCACGCTCTCTCTCTCACTGCAGGGCCTAGAGGAGGGGAAGGAGCTAAGGAAATGGAATGGGAAGTGGTGGGAAAACAGGGATGGCTCCCCGGAGTAAGACTGCAAATTGCCATGGAATGTTAATTGGTGCTCCTTGCATCAGTCTTCTCCTGTTCTGTAGCATTTTACACACTCACACACACCCTCTCTGTCTCCTTCTCTCTCTCTCTAGTGGAGAGGCTAGGTGTTTCCAGTCTCTGTGGGGGAGACAATGGCATGGGGGTAGAATGGGCTTACAAGAGATCAGGGAGCTTTAGCATAAGAGAAGGGCCATGAGCTCGTTGTATCCAGCCAGGTATGTGCAGGGCATGTTCCTACATTTCTCAGAGATCGCTGGCTGGATGTGCAGAGCCACTGGCACTCCACCATCTGAGCGGTCACTGTCCCAACTCACCGAGCAGCTTCATGCATCTAGAAATCTCCTCCTTTCCGGATTTTACCACGGACGATGACGCTCTACCCTACTATGACAAACCAGAATGCTATTTGTCACACCCATTGTCTGAATGAGGGCAATTACAGCAATCACTATCCATCATCTCAGTGGTATCAGGTCATCCAAACATAACCTGCAATGTGAAGGCCAATTGGCCCGCTAGGAATCAGTCCTGGCTCGGCTATTGGAATGACCACGTTACAAAAAGTAATCCTTCAACTGCAGCCTCGGCAAACACGCTCCTTCTTAAGGTGCGGGAATGACATTCCCCAGTATATTCTGTGGATATAAAGTTTAAAACAAAAATGTTGCCTACACAGTATCCTGGTGATACTGTACTAGGCCACATGTTGTGAGTACTTCAGGGGGATTTCTCACATGAGTAAGGATTGATATGCTAAGGCACAGTGTTTGTACTTCCCTAAGAAACTGTATATTTCCAATGTTCTTTATCCCATGTGAATAAATGGAACAAACACAAAATCTTGTTAGAAAATTAAATGTTTTGTTTTATTTTGGAAAAAAACATTTAATTATTACTTACTTGCAAAGTCATTCTTGCTACATAATCTACTTTAAAACTCACATCTCATTCAATTAAGATTTCATACCATTGAGAAAATGATGCTGTCCTGAAGAAATACTACAAAAGTTGCCATATGCAAGCCCATAAATAAACTGCATGATTTTCATGCTTTAAAAGACTGAGGATAAGATTCATTTCAAGCATTTCTATTTCAGTATATTTTCTGCATTCAGTAAAACTATGAAAAATACATAGAATCAAACAAGATGAACAGACTTAGGTGGGGATGGACATTTACAGTATGCTTGTGGGTTTTTTACTACTTTATCAGAAACTAAAGAGGCAAACAAAAGAAACTCCATTGCCATTACTAATAATACAGTGTTCTAACTCCTAAACTCACGTGACATAACCAAGATATACTACTTTATGTTCAAAATGCACAGATAAAGCATGGGACACAGGTTATGTACTGGAAAACATTGCAGTATCTACAATAGGTCTCAATACATATGGGTTAATGAATGTTCACTCCTTATATAATACATCTATGTCATAGTCCAAAATGTTTAAAAAATCATGTTCATGATTCATTGAGTCTGCTGATGTATTTTGGGGACCATGTTATATGTTGTACCTGGGTAAAAAAAATAGACTTAACCCTTTATAGTAGATGCTGTTGTACTGTATGTCAAATGTTATTTTCAAATGGATCTATGATAATCATTGTTACTGACAGTAACTTAGGTGACTGCTGTAAATTTAGCGTAGGAGTAACGTTCAAAGTGAGAAATGGCACAGTGGGAATTATAAATATTTTAAAATCCAGGTTTTTCTTAAAACCCCTGTATTTTCTATGACTCATTCACAACATCGCTTTTACTACAACATAATGATTAGAATAGAAATCGCCTAATAGGGTTAAAATCTATATCCATGGTCACAGGTTTTTTTTTTAAAATGTCCTCCGGTATCAAAAATATGTTTAAATATTTTATCAGCACACAACACAGACACTCTGAACCCTGTTATCACAGTACAGTTCTGTTACAAGAACCTGCTTCCATATATTCCAGTCGCTCTTTCTATTGTATCTTTTGGAACAGACATTCTCTTTCCAGAAGGGTCTGCTATATTTACACAGTTGTGATAATTATTCCAATGCTCAAAGAGCTAAGAGCAAGCCTATGCACAAAAGCCAATAGAGAGAGAGAGCCACTTAAATATTTAGCTTTCTTCTTTCCCTGCTTTTACATTTAGCTGTCAACAAAATAGAAGTATTCTGCTCACAGGATTAGAATTAATAAATGGTTGTATTTACAAGTATTTATGATAGACACAGTGGGCCAAATTCTGCTCTGTTTTGCCTGTGTAAATCTGGAGTAAATTTGTTTAAGTTAATGCAATAACTGCAGAATTTGATTAACTTTTTAGTTAGTTAGGGAACAAATCCTGGTCCCCTAAAACCAATGATAAAACTCCCACTAACTTCAATGGGAGACTGTCACTGACTTCAGTGGATCAGCCTTGGCCTTAACTTTGGAAGGTATAAACATTAAATTAAGTAGGGAAAGATACTTTGAAAATACTGGTTCAAATCCTCAGCCCCCTTACAGCTGGTGACACAAAGCATTGGGAAAGCAAGCACCAACTACCTAGGGGTTTGCCTACTGAAGGGGAATCCCCGGGTGAGATGGGGGCAGCATGGGGAGGGGGTGTTAGAAATATGGCGAGGAGAAAAGACGTGGCTGCAATGGCGTTTTTGTCTGAGCAGACTGAGCTGGTGGAGTGTTCCCTTTGGGACCATTGTTGCTGAGCAAATAGAGCAAGATGCATGTTTTTGAGGCCAAATTAGCCCCTGGGCAGCCTCAAGATAATAGGGGCATATTCATGGCAAAACCCACCTTGTTCTCCCCCACCAACCCCGCTGGGTGGGCACAATAATAGTGCAGCTGAGGGTCTGCCTCAGTGTGTCCAAACTACCTTCAGTGAATTACCCACTGACACAATCTACAAGAACCAGGAAGACATTGCTCCAGTGAAAAATGAGTCTTTTTCCCCCCCATGAAGATACCACATAATTGTATTAGAAGCAAAAGCTGCTGAATGCTGAGTAGAGTCTAAACCACAAAAGACTGTCTTGAGGTCTGTTTAAAAGCTGTCTGTAGATACCAATACACAGACCGATCTTCAGTCTTGCTACCTTCACAGTATTTTGTTGGAATTCAGTGTCTCATTCTGACCACTAAAAGGAGAAAGATAAGTCACAGTGTGGGTTTTGATTTCCAGAAGCTACAGGTCAATTCCATTTGTGAAATGCGTGTGATGGACCATTGTTGATCTGTCTGAAAGACTGAGACAACTAGCTTCTATTACGGTTAGTCAGCAGACAGAAATCACCCTTTAAATGAAACTAACATTGCGGATTGGAGCAGGGCAGTCAGAGCCATTTATATCTATTGCAGATCTGGAAAAAGGAATATCTAAAAAGTTAGCAGTCTGTGTGTGTGCACACGTGATTTGTGTGTATGTAGACCTAGTGTATATCTGCTTCACTGGTCCCAAGTCTACAGAGTGGGCTGAATGGCTGGAATTTTTCTTTTTTTCCCCTCAAGGTCTGGCTTCTTTACAGTGTTCCCATAAAATGCCTGTTGGCAGTATGTGGTGTTAATAAGTTTCTCTGGGATAATTGGATTACTTAAGATATTACATGTAAACAGAGAGTGCACAGCTAAACAAGAATAGCCCTGTTACAACATCACAATTGGAAGCATTTCATTTTCAGAGCATAAAAATGCATTTTTCCTGAAATACGTGACCTTTAGATTTAGATCGCAATAACCGTCCCATCCCTAGTGTTGTCATCGTCACTGACAAAACCATCCAGTGTACAGTAGTGCTAGTTACTCTGCAGCTATTGCTGATGGTCGATTGCATTACACCCTGGAAGGGAGGCAGATGAAGACAGACTTGTACATACTCGGCAAAGCAATATGGCAAATTCCAATTTATTAGGCATTGATTAGAAGAGCAGTTCCTACTGGCATTAATGGTGAGAAAATACTGGGTGGGGGGGCACTGTACTGGAGATCCTGAAGGTATGGCTTGATTTTTCAGAGAGAATCTGGGTCTAATATCAGACTGCTGATAAATCAATCTGATTGGCTGAATTGGTACTCTTGTCCCAGGTGTTCATCTTCGTAGGAGTTGTACCTGGCCTATTCCCAGTCATCTGGAAGACAAAATAGTATTGAAACTGGATTTACTTCTTTTGGTAAATCACCATTGAATGGAGGACATGAAAGCCTGAAAGCATCAATCTAGACTCCACATTACCTTAGACTCTTGAGAGCACAAGCCATAAAGGAGCCATTTAACATGTATTGTCAGGTATTATTCAGTGATCATTGCCAATCATTTCAGAAGCTATCATTTCTAATAGCCAGTTTTCTCATAAAATAAATTTATTTTGTCTCAAGACATCTTAAGCTGTCCTCGAGTCGGGGAGAGAGAGGGGAATGCATATATACACACTAATTTGTTTATATAAATGTTCATTCGTGGGACTCAAATGTAAAGGTATTCTGTCTGGAGCTGGTTGGAAATTGTCTGCTGGAACAATTTTGCATCAGAAAATGCCAGTTCGTCAAAAGCAAAATGTTTCACGCCAACCTGTCACTTTTGACAAGTCTCATGAAGGAACACCGGCAGAACCCGGCCTGTCAGGCAGGTTTCACATCTCTCCCTGCTACCTTGCCCACACATCTGAAGGACTGCCTTGGAGTCGGAACTCCAGATCTTCCAGGATTTGCAGCTCCAGGCCAGCCTTGCGATGGTGACCGTCCCCAGGGTTGGGGATGCCAGGGCTTCCAGATTCTTAGGCCAGTTGGCTCCCTGGACTGACTGACCCCTGCAGGCTGGGGAGCCAGTTGCCCTGCGAGTCAGGCAGCCTGGGGAATCAGCTGGCACAGAAGCCCGACAGCCAGGCTCTAGATGGGGCGCACAGGGCTTCCAGGTTCCCTGCCACAAAACTGGGAGTCTGGAAGGTCCTGGAACAGACTTCAGGGTCTGTGGTTCCAGGGCATACCCACCAGGCAGACTGGCCTCCGAGCTTCCAAAATCTTGGGCCAGCCAGTTCCTTGGCCTGTCCAAATCTTGGGGCAGATGGCTTCCAAGGTTGTCAGAGTTGAGCAGTCGGGGAGCCAACTACTGTGAGCATTGAAGAGCAAGCTGGCCCAGGAGCCTGGAAGCTAGGGAGTCCCTGGCCTCGGGGGAGTCTGCATGGCAGGGCTGCCCTGGAATCACGGATCCTGGAAGTCTTGCCAGCTGATGGCTGAAACCAACATGATTGCAACATTTCCATTTGGTTGAAAATTTCAAAAATTTTGATATAACGAAATTTCCCATGAAACAAAAATTCTGACTTTCAACCAGCTCTAACCCTAACCAAAAACAATGGTCATCAGCTGAAGTTAATAACGAGAACATTCTTCAAGGGCCTGGTTCAAAGGTCGTGGAAGTCAATGGAAAGACTCTCATTGACTTCAGTAGGCTTTGGATCAGGCCCCATGTCTGATGTTTTTAGAAATTTTACGCACTGACTTATCAGAGAACAGAATTTAGTCCTCTGCTTTCAGAGTATCTCCTATAGTCACCACACAACCCTTGCCCATCGCAACTGGCTGTAGAACACACAGTAGAGACAAGTGCTAATTAACTCCTGTGCCCCCGTCATGTCATCTTTCTTTGCACAAGATCACTCCAGAGCTGGGCAACATTTTTCAGCTGAAACTTTTTTTTCCACCAAAAAAAAAAAGCAAATCCGGATCCAATGAAATATTTTGCCACAATTTGTGTCAATTTGGGCAAAATGTTTCAGTCAAAACAAAAGAAAAGTTTGGAAACGTCTAAACAAATAGTTTTAATATTTTGAAAACATGAAACATTTCAATTTTTTGGGCTACACAAAGCTGTGAAGGAGAAGGTGGTGTCACCATCCTTCTCTCCCCCATAACTTTTAGCCTCGTGCTCCGGGCACTCACTGGTGGTGTGAGAGACTCAGGTTTGAATCCCAGCTCAGGAGCAGGGACTGCAACCCCCCATCATTCCCCTCCCAGGTGTGTGTCCTAACCACCAGGCTATTGGCTATTCTGGATTGGGCCTCTCTCTATCTCTTGTTGAATCCTATACCTCCTGCTCCCTGGTTTTGTGAATGCAGCCCTTCAACTCCTTTGCTTATGTTCAAAATGAAACATAGTTTCAGGCTGAACAAAAACGTTTCCTTCACACAAAATGAAGTTTTCCCAACATTTTCACTTTGCTGAAAATCCCCCACTCTTCCCCCAAAATATATTTTTTTAACTTCATCTTGACCAAATCACACAATTCTTCTGATTTTTTAGAACTGCCAGTGAACCAAAAAATCAGTTAGTCTCACAGCTTTGCTCTACAACCTTCCAGCCAGTACAATAGGATAAAAATGGCATTGATGGGAGTACTTACGATATCGGAGTTGAAGGGTTTCACATTGATGTTTCGAATTGAACTGCTGGTGAGGGACCACACCTTGGTTTTGTGCTTAAAGGCGGCTCTAACCTTTGGAAAGAGGCATTAGAAGGCAGTCAGGAAATGATGATCCTAATCTGGTTTTATTTATTTCTCAGGTACAAAGTATTGTCTTTCCATTATAAATGGACGAGGGTTCATACGCATATGTTACTGTGGAATATTTGCCGTTCTACTGTGTAATAATAATAATAATAATATCATGGGGTTCCATTTTAGGTCCAATAGGTCCATGATCAGATTTGCACATTTAATAAGTAAAAATATAAGCTCCGATTGTGTCAGCTAATCTGTGCACTCAGGGGGGCAGTTCCCCAGACTCCATGCAGTCCCAAAATAACTGCTCTGCCAGGAACCAGCAATGGCTCTGGCCTCTAGGCGCACCCCCAGAGACCGAAGGGGCTTGTGCAGTTTATCCTGGCCTTCCGGGGAGCCCCTAGGTTCTATGTGAGTCACCAACTTTGTGGTGGGCCCTGTGGGCTTTTTTCACTAGATGCAAACTCTGACAATGCACACGCACACCCATCCCTCTCTGATGGGATGAGGGGATCTGGCATGCGGAATTCCTCCTCCAGAAGCCATCCTGACAACTTTTTCCCTGGCGGGAGATGATCCAGGCTGTTGTTTTTTCCAAACTGCCAGCCCTGCAGATTCTAATAATCAAGTAACACGAGTGCAATTCCATCACCTTCTACATTATGGCTGCACAGGTGTCTGTGCAGAGAGGCTTTGGTCCAGCACTGGGAGCTTAGTAAATAATTCTGTTGATGGTTGTGAGCCAGATTCGAATGCAGCCTGCTCCCCCAGTGCTGTGTCAGCTCCATGGAAGTAAAAATGGGAAGAAGTACCTATTTTTGTCACTGAAATGCAGAGGGATCTGTTGAGCAAAAGGTGCCATCTTATCTAGTCACTTTTCAGAGCAGGGCTGCGGCATAGCTAAAATTCCAGCATGAGGCCTAGGCACCACTTATCTGGAGAGCCTGAGTGGGACTTAAAGGTGCTGGCCAGTCCAGACAGAGGTGAATTTCACACTTTAACAATAATGTTCACTTTGCACACACAGGGTGAAATCTTGGCCCACTGAAGTCAATGAAAAACTCACCCACCGTGATCCTCCAAATACCCACCACTCCACTGGAGTTCTAAAGAAGTATGTCCTCATAGTGACAATACAGGGATCATATCCCCACGCCACTCCAGCTCACCTTTCTCATTCAAACAGTCCCCCTGAAGTCAATGGGACTGTCCATGTCATTAAGCCCTAGCTCTGCCTTGTCGTTCTCTAAAAGCATTGCCTTTAATTTGGCACTTGAGTGATCACATTTGTGGCAGGGAACAAAATACTCACCACCCTAGCTACAGCTTTATATGTACCCTTATATTTATGAACTACATGATGCTTTCCAATGAAATTCAACTCCTCTCTAGTTGAATAAAGTAAAACCACGCCACCCAGAAATGTGGTGATGGGTGTATGTGAGTTTATTGTGCTTCCATTTTAGAAGGCAGTGATGAAGCAACTAAATGTGATCCTTAAATGCTAATATGGGGGCAATATTAGTATCCCCATTTTAGAGATGGGGAAATGGAGGCACAGAACAGGGAAGTGACTTGCCCAAGGCCACCCAGCAGGGTAGTGGCAGAGCCAGGAATAGAACCAGAGCCAGGAATGGCTCTAGTCAGTAAGCCATACTGCCCCTAGATGTTAGAATCTAGCATGATTTACAAAATGCTAATTGCTAAATTGCTAGTGGAGAAAAACCAGGAAAATTAACTAACTAGCTCAGTGGCATGTCAATCTGTGAGATTTAGTAAATCTGGAGAGAATTAATTATCACTGTATTGATCTGGCACCCTTTGAAGTGAGTGGCAGTTTTGCCATTCTGAAAGCAGAAGGGAGCCAATTGTTGGGGATTTTTAAAACAAGTGAACATATTCTTATTTTGCTGACAGGTACAATTAAAATTAGGGTAAGGTGGTCTGTATATTTGTAGTTCCTGTGGTGCTGTATATGCACCTTTTTATATTTCTCCCACTATGATTGCATGCGATAATTGTTGTTTATATTCTCCCTCTACTTTTGTTGTTGTTCTCCTTTTTACTTTGAAAAACAAAACAAAAAATAACTGGGGGGGGGGGGAAGGGATGTAGTCTGCTCTGTAGTTCTGGCATTGCCAAGGTCCTCAGGCAATCAAAAGTACTGCCATTTTTCACAGTATTTCTTCATACAGGTCTTATGTATTGCTTGTAAAATCCGATATCTCTGCTTTACCCTACTGATTTGAAATATTGCTAGCGGTTTTGCTTTCCTATGTCTGGGATTCCCTGTTACACAAAGTTTTGAGGAGTAAGGCATTTAAAAAAATTTTTTTTTGGAAGGTGTATTTTAAATAGAGACACCTCACAGAGACTGTACAGTGGAGCTAGTAAGAAATATTCTCCAAAAGGCAATTGCTCATTTCTGCTGTTTGCCAGGGATTCAGACTCTGAAGTACAGTACCTAGTGCCTCTAAGAGCACTCAGAGGACTTTATGAATTCCCTTCCTTAGTAGGTGTCAGCAAAACAATCCAATGGCCAGATATTTATATCTGGCCATTGGATTGTTTTGTCTGGGAGTCAGATGGGTCATGGAGAGAAGGAGGCTCTCTGAGCACAGGGAACAATAGGATATTTAAATATTTTTCCTTCTTAACTTTTACCAGCCCTCCTAGCTTTACATATTGGTGTCTCCTTCTGATCCCAGTGCAGCTAGAGAATTCAGTACCCAGCACTATGAAGTCACTGGGGCAGAGACCATTCAACAATGGTCATGATGATGGTGGTCAGCAAATACCTGATTATTGCAAACACCATGTCCTGCCTGCTCCTGCGCTGGCAGAGAAGGCCCTTAACGCTGCAGAATGGAATGGTTCCAGTGTTTATGTGCGGCATGGAGGGAAGAGGCATGGGACAAGCAGAAGAGTGGTCAGTAGGAGGTATATGTGTATATGCTGATCCACTGATTAAAACAACCACATGGTGCTGACAGCGACTTCCATCACCGCCTTTGATTTACAGTAACAATGGCATATTGCTGGGCTTTTGTGCCCAGTGCCCTGGGAGAGGGGAGCATTCTGGCAGCTCCAGTCCATGTAGAGATTTCCTGTGCAAGGCCTACTTATCTGGCTAAAGCTTTGGCTCTAAAGGAGTCAATCCAATGACACAATCCTTACATGAAAAGATCCCCCTTTAGTCCACTGTAAAGGACCTAGCATCCTGCCAAGAAAAGTGTGAAATGTTCTATTCTGGTTTCTCATTAATAAAGGGATTCTAAAAGTTTGTTTTGCTGAGATTAATATTTATTTTCCCTTCTGGCTCTGAAACCCAAAAATTCTCACTTCAGAAATGTTGCCCATAGAATGCTAGTCTCCATCCATGCCCAAGCAGTATCTTTCCCCTTAGACTTGAATTCTGATCTGTTATCACATATCAGGAAACTCTGCTTCTTTAGGTTAAATGCACTAAATGACATACATTGCTACAAAGTGGGGTCATGTGTGGCCAGGAGTCCTCTGAACCATAAAATCACTGATAGTTTCATGTTTCTCACACAGAAACTTACAAATATCAGTGACAAAGAAAGTGCCCATAATGGGTTCATTCACTGTTTATTTTACACCCAGAGCACTAGAGTTTTTTACTGAGTTCCTACTTTCCTGAAGATGTCATAAATTGTAATAACAGTGACTACATAAAAAAAAATCACATTGCTAAGCAACTGTGACTGAGGAATAAAGGGTAGTACTTAAAGCAACAGCATTAAATAAGGGTTTCCTAAAATACCAAAGCTGATTTACAAACTTTATACCATCCTAACAATATTTTAGCATCATTTGGCTCTTGGTTTTACTACAGAAGGAGCTCTTACTGGATGTTTATTGGGGGAGAAGGGAAGAACATACCTCTGAATTCAGAAGACAGTGAAACAGGAAGATGAAAAATCCCTAAAATAAAACAAAAAAGGGAAGAATAATATTACAGGTTACTTGAAGTATTGTACTAAGCATGTGTGCAACAGTCTGAGATTTACAATTGAGCACGAATGGGTCAAATTCTTCCCTAACTTAATCAGTGACAACATTAGGCTATTGATAGGACTGGTCAAAATTTTTCCATCTAAACTTTTACTTTATTTTTAAGGAACTTGGGTTTTCAACAAAATTTTCACAGAAAGTATCTGCCTCCAAATCCAAAAGTTTAAAAATCAAAAATGTTTTGGTCGTTGGCAATCAAAGCCCTTTTCCAACCAGCTCTAGCTGGGACCCTCTGATGTAGTGTTGGTTTGATTATCTGTGGAACTACTTTGTGAGATGGCAAAAAATTCACAAGTGCTGCTTTTACCTCTCTGATCCAGGAAAGAACTTAAACACGCCTGTAACTGTATGTCTGTACTCAAGCACCTGCTTATAGTTAGGCAGATTCTTAAGTCCTTTCCTGGCTAGGGATGCTTTCAGTGGATCAGGACCCTTCTATCTTGTCGTCCTATCACAAGTGCTGTATGCTGCATCAGTGGGCCTCTTTTCTACTAACTTTTGTCAAATGCAACACACATACCCTGTTGCTCGACCTGATGAGATCTACCTAGCCACTTAGGATTGTCTTATTTGGCTCCTTCTGGATCACAGAATCTTAAGTTGACTTTACAAACCTGAGAAATGTCAGCGGTGCATCCACTGTTAAATCTAGTCCTTGATGCCTCACTCTTGAAAATGAACTTTGAATAAACTCTGTCAAGGGCAGTGTTCAGTACCTGTTTATCTGGTGGCTGTTAGAAGCCTTAATCAATTGCTCAGTATTTTCACTGTCTATGCAGAGACTGGAGAAATATCATTGATTGTACAGGCTTATGAGATAAAGGGGTATGGAAGATCAGAAAAATATACACAAATGAAAACATTGCTAAAGATCTGTCAGTTGCAAGCTTGTGGTGCTCTACAGCTGTTGTCTGAACCCTCAGAGCCTGCATTATATACGTACTTGCAAGGAATTGAATATTGCAAACATGTACTGAAATACTACTGCATGGTCATTGACAGCTAGAACTCCAAAGATCCATGAACTTCCCAAGATAGGTAACAATACAGCAACTGCCTTAGCTGTCAACCTGAAAGATAAAATGACAGGAAATTTAACAGAACTGCCAGGCAAACAGTAAGTTTTTAACACATCCAAGGGGAGATTTTTAACAATTATTTCTTGGCATACGAGTGATTGTGCAAAAAAAAAAAAAAAAGTCTTCTGACAGACACTGCCATCGGATGGTTGCTCAACTTTATTGCTGTATAAATGAGTAGCTGTGTCAGCCTTTTTTGATCACTGGAAAAAAAATGAAGTAGGACCTATTTATGTTCACAGCACAAAGAAAGAACTTCATCAATATTGTTCTTTTTTCAGAGTAACAGCCGTGTTAGTCTGTATTCGCAAAAAGAAAAGGAGTACTTGTGGCACCTTAGAGACTAACCAATTTATTTGAGCATGAGCTTTCGTGAGCTACAGCTCACTTCATCGGATGCATACCGTGGAAACTGCAGAAGACATTATATACACACAGAGACCATGAAACAATACCTCCTCCCACAGCAAGGGTTTGCTCACTCAGAACTTTCATGGAAGTCATTGGGGCAAAACCTCCTAGTTTTCTCCATGGGCACAAAGCCTATTAGCCTATTAACTGGTACCTGTGCAGTTCTATTATGCAAGGTGGAAGGATGTAGGAGATTTGCATGCCCTATGCCTCAAATTACTGAAATCCTGAAAGATACCAAGGACCAGATGCTGCCTTCCATTGGCAGAAGGAAGCAAAGCAGGTGGAACCGGGGTGGGGAGAGTGGAAGTGGAGAAAAAAGACTCCTTCCCAGAGCTGTCTAAGTCCTAACAAAGGCACATGGCCCCAAGTCCCCAGAGCAAGTGAGTAATCCAATTCCTCGTGAGCATTGCCCATAAACGTGTTTAAATGTAAGCACATGCTTAACTCCTATTGAGGCCAATGGGATTTAAGCACATGCTTAAAGTTAAATTCCTTACTGAACTGGGGCTGTGGTGAAGTTGGGGATCAGTAGGTCAGGATGGGGGCATATTGAGTGAGGGAAGGGTGGAGCCAAGGATCAGCCCACCCTCTCAACTATTGCATCACTGAGGAGCTTGCAGATTGCTAGTAGGAAATCCATGCAGGAGATCATGTTGTCTCAAGCAATATTAACTTCCCCTTTGGTGGGGCTAGGGTGTAGGTGCAGGAGAGCAGTGCCTACATCTGCATATCTTTTGTTAGGGCAAGGCTCCATGATGATTACAGAAAACAACAGGAGAAAAATGAGGCTGCCGTATCACATAACTCAATGGAAAAATCTCTTTAAATACTGAGTGCCATGGGGTCAAGGGTTGCTGGAAAATATGGGTCACCGAAGAAAGCCTAGATTTCTTAAAATGTGTGTATTGAGGAGAATCTTGGTGTCCTTAGCCACAAATATTTCAGTACAATTCATTTTGATCTGTAAAGGGTCTGCCTCCAAATCCAAAAGCCAGGAACTGAAGGAATACAATAAACCCTGAGGTCTATTATTCACTTACAATATACATTTCAAAGAATCCGGTCTTGAGAGCAACTTAATCAATGGTGCAGAATTATTTCATAATGCAAGGATGATATTTTTTCCCCAAGGCTAAAGTCCTTCACTTCAACAGTAACACAGGAAATATTTCCCACTGACACAATGCCAAGGACCCAATGCAATGAACTCTTGTTGGGGTGAGGGGAACCAAACAAAAACCTTGTGACTGGGCTAAGCCCCACTGATTTCGATGAGGGTCCACCTGCATAGGAATCATTGCAGGAGAGGGGCCATAGCAAACATGTGGAAAACGGAATCTGGGCATTTAGACATTTTAGGTCTCTCATCTAATCCGATATTGAAAAACACTTTCCATTATGAACCCATCACTCTTACCCTTCTGCTGTCTCAGACACATCCAATTTTTATGAAATTTGCCTTTTGGGATAAAGGGGAGTTTGTTTTAATTTTTATTTTAAGTTTGAGCAAAATGCCTTCAGCCATATTTGGAGTCGTTAGACCACAACAAATACACTTTTCCCATTGCAAACTATTCTAAACACACTATCCGAACAATGCTTCAGTAATAGTGAATGACATGAAAACTGTAACTGAAACGTGGGCTAGACAGAGTTTTCATTGAGGACTAATCAGTTTGGGCCAGATTTTACAAAGTGATAAAGGTGCCTAATGATATAGATAGTCATGTAGTGTAATGTACAAAAGCATCAAAGCAGGTCACGTGTTTAACTCCCACTGACAGTCAATGGGAGTTAAATACTTTATTCAGTTAGGTGCTTTTATAAATCCCTATCTGTTAGGCATCTATCTACGGCTTTAGTCACCTAAACACTAAATCTGGCCCTTTGTTTTTAACAGGTTTTGATTTAACAAAGATCATAGGCCTTTGAAGACTGAACACTGACCATGTGCAGTAGAAAAATGTATGAGGGCAAGAGATGAACGAACACTAATTAGGAAGGCACTCGGTACATGTGCATCTTTGTAAGTGCACATCCATTTAGACTGGGTGCTGTTTAGGGGTGAAATTCACCCCATGCACAGGATCAGCACAAGGTCTGTGTGTCACTTGCATCCAATTTAAGACCTATTTTGCTTAGGCGCTGCATAGATCTTATGCCAGTCTGTTGCACGGGTGAATTTCACCCTAAGTGTGAATGACTGGTTCAAGGAGTTATGAGCTTCCACTAACCAAGCTAGAAGCTTGGCAGCATTTTTTCCTTGACCTTTTTTATTTTCTTCCCTCCTCCTCTGCCCCCACTTCCCCAAACTTCATTTCATTGCCTCTTTGACCTTTAAAAAAAATGTGTAGCAAATTAAATGCAAAAAGCTGCATTAAGCAACAATAAGGTCAAAACAATTCAGAAATTGCAAAAGATATGGGTCCCGTAGCTATGTTAATTCCAATGCATTGCACTTATATGTTCTTATTTTTTATTCCTGAGTTTCTGGCTACATGCATAGTTGAGGAGACTAGCCCTAATAATTTAAACCATACAACACAGCCAAGTACATGTTGCTTTTGGAACTTTAGCTAGTGTTTGAATATTCAGATTGAGCAACTTTAACAATGCATCAACATGGTCCTTTGGATTTGATGCTGTCTATGAAGTTTGGTAACGAGGATGATGTAATACTGAGTTTGATACCTCAAGATACTGAATGGGAAAGCCTGATTTCTGTCACCCAGCTGTGCTGGATGACAATAAGCAATGTCCTGTGCAATTAATATAGGTGTAGGTTGTCTTTTACCACTAGTGCAGAGAAAGAGGTAGCCATGTAGCTGGCTGTCCCCAGAAGCAGTCCAGGTAAGGAATGCTGCTCAGAGGCACAACCCAGGGAACGGTTAACTATCTTATTTTCCCATGCCAATAGCAGATCACTACTCCCCCTGGCCAGTACAAATATAGAATCTTGTGCCAGGGGGAGGGAGGGAATACAGGACAATGGCGGGCTAGATTCACAAAGGGACTTAGACACCTAAATCCTAGGGTTAGGCTCCACTGGTATTCACAGTACCCCCACTTAACTGCAACCGAACCCAGTAGGAGCCTAGGCTCATTCAGCATCTAACTCTTTGCAAAGTTCTTTAGGTGCCTCCATTTCTGCCTCTGCACATGAGCACTCCAGCAGGTGTTTGGATGCCTTGCCCCAGTGCAATGCATGAACCAAGGGATGATAGGTGTTCTTCTGACTAACATGCCCGTGAGGCCTAATCCCACAGGTAAACTGTGAGCATCAGAATATCTCATAGCCCAGCATTTAGGGTGCTCACCTGAGCACTGGCGGATCCCTGGTCAAATCCCTTCTCCCCCTCAGACAGAGGGAGGATTTGAACCCGTAGTCTCCCACATCCCAGGTGAGTACCCTAACCACTGGGCTACAAGTTATAGGGGGAGAGTGCCGCCCCACCGCTTCTTGCAAGAAATGCTGTAGATGACTAATTCCAAACAAGAGTTTGCAGCTGAGAATCCCAAGCAGAGGGAGGCGCCTCCCTGCAGCCTGGATTTAAAAGCCAAACTCCCGGAGAGGGGCAGGATTTAGGACACTCCTTTCTCCTCAACATCTCCCATTGTCTATCTTAGGCGGGCAGCCACCTAGCCTGCTGGCCTTTGTGAACCCCTTTGTGAATGTTCCGCATTCATTGGATAGGAAGCCCAAGGATGTGAATCCCAGTGATTTTCTAGGCGCTGAAAAGTTAGCCGTGGCCACGCTAAGCATCGCTGGTTCCTTGGTGAATCTAGCCCTTAACCTCCTCTTTCTCCCCCTGCTTGCAGTAGAAATGTGGGCAGGCAGCATAAAGGGAGGACTTACTCACCCTTAGACGTCTGCTTGGTCACATTCTAGGTGATGATGAGCTGGCCCACAGAATTTTAGAAGCCATATAATGGTTTATTTCTCACACAAGCTGATAAAAGTTCAATCACTATTGCTCTCTCGCAGTCTAGCTCTGTTAAACTGTCTTTGCTTCCAGCTTCCGTGTGTGTGTGTGTGTTGATCAGCCCTGCACTGAATTGATTGGGAGGCAGACAAAGCAGGCACCAAGGGGGAATTTGCTTTTCTTCATCCTTTTTACTTTCTTTTTCAGTTTTCTTCTAACAAATATGTACCACTTATTCCTTCGTTACCAGGTGACTTCTGGAAACTGCAGAGCTATTTTTGTTCTGATTACATTTGTATATCCAGTCTGTGTTTCGCAGCCTTTGGAATATTATTGTTTGTGCACAGTGTATCTATCAGCCTGTTCTACTGCTAGGACTTGTTTCTCACTGTGTCAAAATGATAACAATCTGGATGGATGGGTTACAAGTTACACAGAAGGCACAAGCTGTGCAAAGCATCATTCAGCAATAGATGCTTTGATGTGGGCTGATTTAATTCCTATGCAGAGCCAAAAGAATGGTTTTGACTTTAAGAGCCAACAGCAACGAACTTGTACTACATACGGCCATCATGCTGCAGCTGGGTCCCTTACAATCAGTGGGGTTCCTTCAGGGTAGTTGCTGGCAATTGTGCAAAATCTATTCACTGGGCC